AAATAACATTTTGTAACGTCAATATTTTCAGAAAAATAAACTCTACAAAATGGCTATTTTAAATTTTTTTTAAATAATTAAATAAAAAATTATAATTTTTAATTTTTTACAAAAACATTAAAATAAATTTAAAATTGAAATAATTGTAGTTCTTAACCCTGTGAATCTTATTAGAAAACCAGAATTTTGATATCTCCATTATTTCGTGAGATACCACAATGGGTAAATCCTCGCGGGACACTGTATAAATATATGTACATGTAGGTATACAATATGATCAATGTTTAAAAATGTTGAATAATAATTCTTTAGATTTTATTTTTTTATATATTTTATTTATTTATAATTATATTTTATACATTGACCAATAGTGTGTTAACAAGTTTTAAATAATACCTAATTTAATACTTTAATTTTAATTGTTATATATTTAATTATTGTAATTTGACCTTTTTGTCCGTGGCTTATTTTTCCCATGGCTTTTTTTCCGTGGATTTTTTTTCTAACTACCAAAAAAATTATAGTGTTCCAAGTTCCATTTCACCTGTGTTAATGGTAATATATTATATCTGTGAATTAAATTCATCTTATATGGTTATAATATGTATACAGTGAAACCTCCTTTAACAGACACCTCTCAATAGCGGACACCTCCAAATAACGGACGAAATTTTGGGAACGGTAAGTTGAAAAATTCTTTTTTAAGTCTATTAAGATTGAAGAGAATTCGTCCCATATACGCTATCTGCCCATACCCTACAATAAATTGCCAAAACTTATAGACTGTTGTTCCAAGTGCCAACAACCACCATTGTCACTTGTACTTGTTAGAAAGGGTAGTCAGAAAAAAAGCTACCGGAAAAAAAAGCCATGTGAAAAATAATAAGCCACGGTTGTGAGTTGGTGAGTTATGCGCGTATAATAAGTTGTAAGGTAAAAATACTCATAATTCACTTAAAAACTGAATTATGGTAAAAATACTCCCCACAACACAGATAATGTTCTTACCATCAAGTTTTATAATAGGTCTTTTCATTMTAATTTTCAAACTAACGAAGTAAAACATGAAATGCTGAGCGTAAATTTGCCATGTTACGCGTTTGTAAGACTGAGACAACAAATACGGCCGCCTCATACAAAAGTGAGGGTGGGTATCCCAATGACTCCAGGACCTATAGGGCAGCCCTATTAGGGCTAGTTTATAATTTACACTCACATAGTCACATAATTACATACCACAAACATACTAGGGTAAATATTAGGTAATCTTCGTTACATTATCGAGATATGGATTTATTAGGTACTTTTGCCTCATGAAATAAAATAATTCACGCCGCCACTGGGTGTTGCGCCCTCTATACCTATACTCTCMGGACGTGTCAGCTATGCGTACAGTACGCTACGCAGTACAGACAGTACAGTAACTGCGTACATGACATTTATTTTAGGGTATCATATTTTACTATAGAATCAAACATATTTTACTATAGAATCAAACGCGTTATCAGTGTATGATACTATGATTCATCTTTTTTTTTCATCCTTTGATCTTCATGACCTCTGATTATTGTTATGTTTATCTATCCAATGATTATAAATTAATGCTTGAAATTTGAAATTATTTAGTATTTACTAATTATWTATACTGATAAACTTGAATCATTAATTATTGGAAACTGATTTTTAAAACTTCTTATTCAGTTCACGTTCCACACTTGTCACTAGTCAGTACTCAATAGAACATCTACATACATTACCATTATTCATTTTTTATTTTCAATTATAGACTTGGATGTACTGGCAGTAAAATTTTTATTTTAAAAACCTTTAAATATTTCTTCTCAAAAAAATGTCAAATTCCAATTATGATCCTCATAAAATTTATGAAATCGGTTTCATAGGGTCTGGAAATATGGCTCAAGCCATTGGACTTGCTTTTATCAAAAAAGGTAAATTTTTAAAATATTCTTAGTTAACAGTTAGAATAATATATTTTGGAATTAAAATTAATAATTAGGTACAAATAAATGATTCAAGAATACATCGCCAATCAATTTTTTTATGAACTTTAAATACTTATTCAATTTTTTTTTTACATTCCTTTTTATTATTTTTATTTGTATGATGTATTCTATCTACTTATTGAGAAATAGGTATATACATTAACCTACTGTGTTTAACAATGAAAATATATAATAACTTTTAAATTAATTTTTTWAAAGGTTTATGTAAAGCGGAAAACTTAATTGTATCATCGCCTTCAGAAAATAACAAAAAAGTATGGAGAGATATTGGTGCAGCTGTAACAACTGATAATAGTAGGTATATAGCAACAGCATTAAATACTACTTTTATGATGTTTAGATGATATTCATTGGAATTTTGTTCTTTGTCCATCTATTTTTCAGATGCTGTGTTTTGTAATACTAAAATAGTATTTTTGGCAACAAAACCCCAATATTTCCCTAAGGTGGTATCAGAATTATTTACTACAACTCTTGGTTCCTTACAAATTTTAATATCAATTATGGCTGGAATACCACTTAATAAATTACAAGAAGTAAGAAAATGAAATTTGAATTTGAATTAATAAAACTAGTACTTCAGTCTGAGATATTTTAACGAGTGTTATGTATATTTTAAAAACTTAAAAATACAATATTTTTTTTTWAAAACATTTTATCGATTATTATGTTTCTACTAAAAACATATTATCAGAAAAAAGCTGTTCGTTTGATTGATTTAACATTTAATTGATGAACTGTAATCTGCTAAAATAAATATTTACTTAACTTATATTAATTTTTTCAACCATTAAGGTACTAAAATATACGGCAATAGCACCTTAAATATTATATATCTGACTTGTTTTATGTGCTTAAAAATTGTACCTAATCATTTTATATATTTTTTAGGCATTCAATGTACAACCTAGTATTTTATTTAAAGTTATGCCAAATACTCCTAGTATAATCGGAGAAGGATTTTCAGGTTTGTTTAAAATTTAAATCAATATTTTATAAAATAAGAGGTTTGCAACATATTTAAGCCAGCCCAATTTTTTTTTATTCTGTTACTGTTTGTACTAGCTAATGTGAATATATTGTTTTGAAACATCTCCTTAGAATAATATGTACTTTTAAGTCAGTAGTAAAAAAAAACTACTACTTATGTACTGGGGCATAAAATTTGTTTCATACATCAATAAATTAAAAACTGATATTTTTACAAACCATTTTTTAAAACTTTATTGTTTTTAGGGTAGTTTGKTGGATTGAGAGCATTTTTTGCAAATTTTATATAAATTTGGCTCACATTTTTTTTTCAAAAAAATAAATTAAATATTGTATGTTTATAATTTATAATTTATATTATAATAATTAGTTTTATATGTTAAACCAATATTTTTATTTTGTATTATGTCACTCTTATKATCTATGACTTCCACTATATAAAATAACACTTGCCAATAACTGTMAAAGCTTCTTATCTGAAAATATTAAATAGCATAATTATTCAGTGCTATGATGAAACACGAATTACAACAAATATACCTATCTATTTAAATCTTATTTTGTATGCATTTAAATAAGCTTTTAATTTATCTGTGAATTTCATTAAGCTTTATAATATGCACTAYCATTAAACCAAATTTTATAAGCCGTTTTTCTCATTTTTTTTTCACATTTAAATCAACGATATATTTATAACTGAATCTGACATTTATCATTCCAATTTGATAGCTATATCTATGTTTATATAATAGTAAAATACAATATGAATGTATTTTAGGGATAGGAGGGTCATTAAAGTTATTTGAACTGTCATTTTAAATTACATACAACACTAAAACACTACTGCAATTTGAAAATGAATTTATGTATCAATATCACAATATAATTAAACTAGGTTTGAAACATAAATTAATACAATTTAAAATTCTAGAATACTAAATTGATTGTATTTGAATGGCAAATTATACATCTAATTTACTATATCATTGAGTTTGTAAATAATCAATTATTAATATATTAAATTACGATTGATAATAACATTTAAAAAGTCTGATGTTAATACATTTTTCTAGCAATTTCTTATCTAAGTGATGCTAGTTCGGAAGAAATTGCTGTAACTTTGCCAAAAGTTAAATTGTTGATGAGTGCAGTAGGTGGTGTAGAAGTTATACCAGAATCATTAATGAATGCAGCTGGAGCTATTTCTGGTTCTGGTCCTGCTTATGTAAGCATTGCAGACTTAAAAATATGTTTCTATTATATATAATTGAATTATTGTTTATCATAAATCATGCAGATTAAATTTAATCATTTAGGCATTTCTTATAATTGAAGCATTGGCAGATGGTGGTGTAAAACAAGGCATTCCACGTGACTTAGCTGTACGTTTAGCAGCTAGTGCTATGGCAGGAGGAAGTCGTATGGTTTTAGAAACAGGAAAACATACAGGCCAACTAAAGGATATGGTGACATCAGCAGGAGGAACAACAATTGCAGCTTTACATGCTTTAGAAAAAGGAGGAGTTAGGTAAATATTATATTATTTTGTAACCCAGCCGATTATTTACATTATACAATTATTATTTTTAATACTTCATATAGATGTGCCATGATGGATGCAGTTGAAGCAGCTACCAATAGATCAAAGGAAATGGGAGAAAAAAAATAATAGTTAATGTTGCATTTTATAACTTTTTACAATAAATTATGTAATTATATTAGTTAAATAAAGCATTAGTTTTACTTTAGATATGATACATCATCTTAAGTCTTAATAATATTATAATACAATGTGAATAATATTTTTATGTATTGATATAATAATACATTATGTATCTGGAGCATATTCAACACATCTAGATGGATCAGTTGGGAAAAATTGTTGACATTTAGTCATTAAACGTTTCAAGGCCTGAATGTATTTTCTTTGTGTTTCATCATTTAGTACATGTGCAACATTTTTGGAGAAAATCTTTTCTCGTCCTGTACGAGCATGAATACCGACCATAGTTACTCCAATAGGCCACGGAGCATTACCAATAGCCATTTCCAAGTATGCATCACTGGCTCTTAAATAATCTTTCTCTAACATATGTTTTGTGATAAGTGTAAGACTATCCAAAATATCATCAGGTAAACTACTGTTTTTTAGTTTTCTTAATAACGGTTTCAAGTAAATTTGTGTTTGATTGTAAGTAGCTAACGCTAACTTTCCTTTTGTACTAGCTTTTTCCTTAACAGATCTAGCGTTAAGTTGAACCTCCCACATTTTCAATAACAATTGTAAAAGCTGTAGAATAATTTCCATATCTTGAGATCGATCACGCCTTCTTCCTAAAATACCAGCTTTAGATTGAATGGTTTCATAAGTTGCCATTGCTTCTTCCATGCTTTCCAACTCTGTGTAAGTTTTTTCAGGTGCCTTATTTGTCATCAGCTTATCTAAATAGTCTTGATCGACTTTTTCTAATGCTTCTTGAAAATCATTTCTGAAACCCTAAGCACAAAAAAATTCTATGTAATAATGCAAAAATAATTAATTAATCATAAATTGAAGATATACCTTATTTGACTCTGGTTCAGCAAGTTCACTTCTACGCAGTCTTTTAAAAGAATCAAGTTCTGATTCACCAAACATTGTAATAGGTTCACCACGATCTCTCAACCTACGAATTACTTCTTTTCTTGACAAGGTATGTTTCTCAGATGTAGAACTATTACTTTCATCACCACTACCTAAATTCAATGTTAAACAATTATTAAGATTTTTTATAAGTATTTAAAGTTCAAATGTGACAAAATGTGCACATTATTATGTAGTTAAAAGTATATCAAATGTTCAATTTTTATAGTTAAATCTTAAAAACTTAATTCTAAGTTCCTCATAGTTCATACCGACATACAGAATGCTGAAATCAAAAAATCTTTTACATTTTTTTGTATAGCTATTTTGATAAAAGTAATGAAAAATAACAATTTAAGTTATTTGTGGAGATTTGTAGTGATATTGGTATATCATTAATTTATTATGTATTTACCTACAGTTTCTAAACATTTAGATTAATTWAAAAAAAATTAAGTTATTGTCTATTTATATCACAAACCTATTCACAATTCATGACATTTTATGATAAATTGGTAATTACTCAAAAGCTAATAATAATAATATATCATAAATGTATGTAGTAATGTAGTATTGTAGTATACATAATTGATGAGCTGTTACAGTATTACTAAAAGCTAAAAAAATTTATAAAACATAATATATTGGGTTTTTTTTTCATATGGTCTGCGAGTAGGCACGAAGGCCTAGTTGGGACACCTATTTGTCAGAAATTCTAGTGGGCGTTTGTAAGTTTCTACCATGCCTGGGTATGGGATGATAGCTTCTCTTCTCTAAACACCGTGACTGTCTGCGCCTGTGATTGAGGATCCAACCACAGAAAAAAAAATGTATATATATATTGAGTACTATGTTCTCAAGTATTAGATTTCAAACTAAAAAAGTGGGCAAGTATCACTCTGCTGTATAGAAATGAAGAGTAGGTCATCTTAGTGGATGTGTTGAATATAAATGCAATGACAGGTATTGTATGTGAAAAACAATTCTGAACAGARATTAATTGTCAGTCTAGGACAGCAGTTGCAAACCTGGGGATAATTACCCCCAAGGCGTAAAATCACGGTTTTTTTATTTTAATTTTAAATAATTTTTATCTATTTAGTCATGAGTACTATAACTGTAAATGTAATTGTAATAATATAATATAGGGAGGGAGAGTTATTTGTTAATATCTAACCTGACTTATGGGTAAGTCTCAAAAAGATTGGGAACCATTGGTCTAGGATATATTATATTAACTATATTTAAATTATAATATATTTTATACCAGCACAATATTAAATATTATTAAATATACATTCACAAAATGATTTCT